GTGTGTCGCCGCTAGGTGTGTCGCTGCAGCTGGTTGGTAGGTGGTTGCTGTGTCGCCGGTAGGGGGTTGGTGTGTCACCGGTAGGTGGTTGGTGTGTCCCCAGTAGTGTGTTGGTAGGTGGTTGGTGTGTCACCGGTAGGTGGTTGGTGTGTCACCGGTGGGTGGTTGGTGTAGGTAGGTGGTTGGTGTGTCGCCGGTAGGGGGTTGGTGTGTCACCGGTAGGTGGTTGGTGTGTCCCCAGTAGTGTGTTGGTAGGTGGTTGGTGTGTCACCGGTAGGTGGTTGGTGTGTCACCGGTAGGTGGTTGGTGTGTCGCCGGTAGGTGTGTCATCGGTAGGTGGTTGGTAGGTTGTTGGTGTGTCGCCGGTAGGTGGTTGGTGTGTCACCAGTAGGTGGCTGGTGTGTCACCGGTAGGTGGTTGGTGTGTTGCGCAAAAAAAAAATCAAAACTATTTATAGGCATCAAAGGCGCCGTATAACACATTAGTTAATTCTCATTGTATCCCATGGCTTCAGTCACCGGGTCAAATGTTTCATGTGTTATCTGGTACCCCACTTTTCATCAGAACCTTAATGAAAGGTTGCCATTTATGCCATCATCTTGATAACCCAATAAATGTTTACAAATTTATTTAGCAATTTATGTTTTGTTCGCTTAATATAATATTTCAACAGCATCAGCTTCCCTCGTTCTTCTAGGTGTGTTCTTTGATAGGTTTGACAGGTATTTGTTAGGCTCAAGGCAATCTCGTTCATGAAAAGTGTTGCACTGCGATAAGGCTTTAAAATAGATTAATAAGACACGAACAATTTGTGTCAATCAAACAATATAAGTTAAGCTTTAATTATAATTTTAAAGAATACAAAAGTATACGTTTCGGTACATGCCTTCATCAGTACAACAAAAAAGACAATTAATTAAGTATAAATTAAATTTACATAATATATATATATATATATATATATATATATATATATACATGTATCCTACCTAAAAAAGTGGAGATCAAATAGGAGTGGGCGAAAAAAAACCCAGACAGAAGCAAAGTATCTAAGAATGGAAAGGAAGTGACTTACAGTAAAATGTAAAAAACCAAACAGGAAAAAGGTATGGTCGTTACCTAAAATTGTGGATTTGGTTTATCCCGTATGGAGTCAACGTACCAAATCTTGTTATCAATTTGTTCTCCATATAGATACTATCCGACGTGTCATTAGTTATACAGTATGCCGTAACTGCGATGACTACAATTCCATCATGGTTAGTGCTATTGAGATGTTTGGAGACCGGAGAGCCTGTTTATTAATGTTGTAGACGTTTTCTCTAAACCGGTCTCCAAGGCGATGACATGTCTCTTCTTCGTATAATTTACCGCACTTTTTACAAAGAATGGTGTAAAACACGTTGTGACTTGGGCAGGTAAAGCAATCTTTTATTCTGAATATTTACAAAGGGGAAAGTAATCTTATCAACTTCAATCATGTAGGGACATGTGTTGCAACGGCTACGGTTTTGCTAGCAGGGAGGTGGCTTCTAACTAGCCTGTCCCTAAGGCTCTTGTCCCTCTGAAAAGCGAAAAGAGGAGGTTTTCTGAAAATCTCATTGGTGACCCGTGTCTTCCATAAGAATTGAGCGGTTTTTTCAGAACCAGAAAACGAGCTTTAACGGTTATGGGGATGAAAAGTTCCCCTTAACCTTTACCCACCCACCCCCCACCCCCATTACCCAATAAAACATATTACAAGTAAGACGACTTCATCTAACCCAGTGGTCTAGATTTGTGTTGATGCCTTCCTGATCTTTTTACTGCAGCCCCCCTCCCACCTTTCTTTGGACCCCTATAATATAAGGCGTCAGCCTTTATACCCAAATAATCTCTAATCTAAAGAAGCATGTTTGTCTATGTCATATAGGATCTCTTATCGGAAAGAAAAAAAAGAGCATGGGTTCTGTTATCATTTTTAATTTCAAAATCCCATTACCGCATTAACCCATCAGCGATCCACTGAGGTATGTTATGTTGTTAGTCTTCCGCAGGCGTGTAGATGATTGAGGCTGAATTCGGCGGTGATGAGTACACTGGTGGCAGCCAGTCTTAATTTTATCCTGGAAAGCTTCCCCCCGGGCGTGTTTTAGAGTCCTTTTTTGGATAGGGGTCGATTCTGCTTTTCCTTGCTGTGCACCTTCTCTAGGCGTCGCTGTCCCGTTTGCTCTCTGGGGCTTGTCCTCGAGCAGTCCGATTGTCTCGCCAGCTAGTGTTCCCCTCGAATCCAGGTCGATGTTCACGTATTTGAGAGACACTTGAAGATCATCTTTAACGCGTCTTTTCTGTCCATCGCTGCTGACCTCATCATTTCTTGTTATTGAACTTGAGAAGGTGCTGCCCACATCTGGGAATTTTTGACTGATTGGAGACTTTATTGAAATGTTAGGTTCCCTTTACTCTCCAGTTGCTTGCTGGCTGATGAAAGATTATGATGTTTTTTTTTAAATTTAAAAAATATATTTGAATGATAGCGATGCCGTAGTTGTCGCAGGACTTAGCAAAAGGATCAAGTATTTGTTGGATTTTCAATTCCGAGATTGCATTTAGAGCAAATCGGGAAAAAAAGAACCACCCAGGTTTGACCTCAGCTTTCGCCCCCCCCCCTTTTTCTTACTCCACTGAAGTTCATGGTACACATTTAAAAGTATGAATCTTAAATCGGGGATATATCAAAATTTCACTGAATTAACACATTTAATTTAAAAAAACATTTTTTTTTTTACAAGGGAGACACCTTTATTAGCGTCAACTTCAATAAATAGTCCGGTTATGTGCCTTGAATAAATAACCCCAAGAGTTATTGATAAAATCCTGGAACTGGTGGTTGGAAGAACATGATTGACAGGTTGTCATCCTTGAAAAACAGGGAAAAAATTATTAAGTTTAAACTGTTTAGATTAATACTTTGATAAAAAGTAGTATTAATGCATCTTTAATCCATATTAATACCATATTATATTTTTTTCATCAACAAATAGTTCCCTGTTCTAAGTGGCATCGCTTCTCCACGGTGTTCAATTCTATCGGTAATTTAACAAATTATTAATTGTTTCCTACTGGTGTTTATTTTAAGCCTCGAGAGGGTGGAGGTGGGGGTGGTGAAGGAGTTATCATAAAACGTGTAAAGAAATTGAATGAAAATATTTTTTTTTTTTAAATTGTAAAGAGTTGTAAATATAGATCCATGTTCAACCTATTAAAATGATCGAAATGTGGAACAAATTCGGAATCTACTCTAAACAACACCAAATTTAATTAACTAAAGGCCTTTATGTGAATTTCTATTTCTTTACAATATGATTTAAAATATAGTCATGTGTCTATGTTTTGCCTTCAATAAATAATTTATCAAAGTTTTTATTAAAAAATTTCTATAAAAAAGTATTTATTGTCCTTTTGTAGCTGGTACACCTTAGAAATATGTAGGTAGGTTATGTAGGTAGGTAATAGGTATTCCTGGTTTTTTTGTGACGGCCAACTATTTGTATGAAAATATAATTTATTTTTTTTAAATGCATTTATTAATGAAGGAGTTTGGAGAAAGAAATAGTGTATTTTTTTGAAAATATTGATATACTAATTAGTTACAAATTAAAATATATCATTTGTTTAAATATAAAAAGGTCAAAAGAAACCTAAACTCTGTTGCTCTCCGAAAAATTAACTTCTGTTATGCGCCAAAAATGCATTGCTGGCTTTTTAATTTAATCTTAAATGTTCTGGGAAAGGGCTCACTCAGACTTCCCATACCCTGTATTTGCTCGGGAGCCCTCGATTACTGTGCAATCCCCCCCCCCCCAAACTAAGATCAATGTGTCAGTGCTGGCCGAACTAGCTTGGAGCTTTTTAATTTAATCTTAAAGGTTCTGGGAAAGGGCCCACTCAGACTTCCCATACCCTGTATTTGCTCGGGAGCCCTCGATTTCTGTGCCATCCCCCCCCCCCCAAACTAAGATCAATGTGTCAGTGCTGGCCGAACTAGCTTGGGGCCACAACAATACCCTGGACCGAGACTTAACCGCAGTGACTTCTGGTTATGTTTAGAAAGACATTCAACCGCTCAGACTCGACAATCATCTCTCTCAGTCAAGCAGCAAACCACGGTTGTAATATGTTACTTATTTTAACCCATTCGTTGCAGTGTTATGTCTTATGTCATTGAGAGGAAATTTAGTGTTGTTGAAGAACTGCTCAGTAACACACAATATAAAAGTAACCATTTCGTATCTGGTTCCAGCTGCCTTGCAAATGACAACACTTGACCCAACCAAAATGTATGAGGCTGCCACTGGCCACAGCCTAATGTGAGGATAATTTCTCTAGAGTCTAGACCCTTGTTTCCCAAAGAGGGGCCCAGGCCCTACAAGGGGGAGGAGGGGGGGGCAATTTGATTGTTTATGGGGCAATTTCGAAAAATGAGCTGTCTAGATTTGAAAACTAACGGTTTACTATGATTTAACTTGTATTTGAAAAGGAGAATTGTTAAAGTCTCAATATTAAATAAACCTCATTTTTTAAAAAAGTGTTGTTAAAATCATTTAAGTTTCTTCAGTGTACAACCCTATTTTTGAATATTAGAATTTATGTATTTAACACTGGGAGGAGGGGCATAAGAATTTTAGAAATGTGTTAGTGGGGCATGGCACAAAAAGGTTAGGAACCACTGGTCTAGACGGTCTGGTTTTCCACTTTGTACGACGAGGTCCCAGCCCTCGGTTTCATACAGGAAGTAGAACAAGAGATCTAAAGCAACAAATTAAAAAAAAAAAAACGTTTAATCAGAATATAGTTAGGTCAGCTCGAACCTAAAAATAAAACAGATGACGTCACGTGTGTTACATTCTTGATAAGAAAAACACCATGGAGACTGAGAGATAGCACAGTTGTGACAACAACGACGAATGACTTCTACACATTTGGTCGCCATTTTCTATGGTGGTGTAAACATTGTTGTGTTCTACATTCTGATAATTAGGAGTGAGATTCAACAAAACAATTTAGATGTTTAGGAAATAAGGTGTGAAGTAGGAGCCCCTAATTTGTATTTGTTTTTTTTATTTTGGTGTTGATGCAGTGTTTGGCTAATTCAGACTGATCAGCGCCTGACGTCATTTGCGTGTTTATTAAAGTTGCCGTGAGTTAGGGTTCAGATTAGGTTGGGAGGATACATTTAGGACATACGTTCGTGGGTCGCGATAACCAAGATGGCGGTCACGGGCTGATCTCTCCGAATTTACCCAGTGTTTATTATGGTGTCTATTTTGGTGTTTATAAAGTGTTTATTGTGGCTTGAGAGAGCGTTACCTTCCCACCGGTCGTGTCAGATCTTTCTTTGGTACAAACTGTGCAGTTGTTTCACTCGACCGGAAGCTCCTCCATGTTTCTGTTGCATGTTGGTATGTAAAAGGAAACATATTAATAGCGATAGACTCATCCTAAAATTCTCTAAAATAAAAAAAAATAATTTAAAAAAAATAATAATTCCTTGCGTATTCCTGTCCGGAACTTAACGCTATAGAGTCAACATTATTTTCATATGTTGAAATTCAACACAAGAGATTCCGTTTCAGGTGGTTCAATGAACGCATTAACACAAAGAGAAAATTAGGAGTTAATGAAAACAAAAAAAATAGAGATTTGTTTCACCTTTAAAACACTGAACACACTATCATGATTTTACAATCAACACAACGTACAATACAATATAAAGTCAAAATATCTGACTGACCAGTCTTAAAGACAATCGTACGATCATGTAGCAGCTAGTCAAATCATAACCGAATGCATATCAATAACGTATTGATTGAATTAATAGTATTATTTACTGTTGGAGATATTATTGTTTTCATTTTATCCATTTATTTTTTTTAATTTTTAAAGTGTATCAGTTAATATTTGTAATTATTTGGGTCGCAGGATAATCTAAAAATAATCTCTCGTATTTTGAGAAATTACTAACGGCACTTTTCGATTTCCATTTCAGAACTGACAATTATAAATGTTTGCAATAACCAATTTTTTCATAACTGGATTTGTTTTGCTGATTAGTTTCTTAAAGTTTGGAGGTAAATATTCATGTTTCTTTAATAAACACAGCTAATCTAATGTTTGGAGTCAGCTATTCATAATTAATTCTCTCTCTCTCTCTCTCTCTCTCTCTCTCTCTCTCTCTCTCTCTCTCTCTCTCTCTCTCTCTCTCTCTCTCTCTCTCTCTCTCTCTCTCTCTCTCTCTCTCACTCAACAACATTATAGAAGGCTCTATATGTTAACAACTTATAGAATGCCTTATATTCTAACAATGCTATAGAATCTCTTATGTTCTAACATTGTAATAGTATGTCATATAGTCTAACAATGGTATGAGATGTTTTCTATTCTAACAATTTTATAGCATGATCTATATTCTATGAATTTTTTAGAATGTCTAATTTCTAACAATGATTTAATACATATTAAATCTTAACAATATTATAGAATTACTTTATCTAACGATAAAATAGTATGTCTGATAAGTATTCTATCAAAACAATGTGTTATAGCCTGTGTTTTGGCCTAATTTCGCTTCCTTAGTTGTAGCGTCCAACACTTACCTTTCCATATTTTTGGTTCTTAATGACCTCACCTATTAAATGTGTAGTGCTCTATCATTGCTCTCCCTTCATTGCTAGAAGGTTATTTACTCTCCAATATATTTGAAATGGAATGCGTTCGGGTGATGAAATTTCTAGAATTTCTTTTCGGGACGATTCCAACACTCTCCCTACAAAGAAGCCGGCAGGTATTTCCAGGCGGGACAAACTCTCGCTACTTTCCCTTGACATTTACGAGATGTACATACTGATAGGAGGCTTTAAAAGTTGTACAATATGTACACATATATATATATATATATATATATATATATATCTCGTTTTCTTCTTATACTGTTGTTCAGTAAGTCTTACCTATTGTTGATCTAACGTGACAAATTTTAAACAGATGATTTTTGCGAAGCGATAAAACGGTTGGTAACAGAAAGCCTCATGGGCGTATGTCTGGTATCTTTGACATCGGGTTTTCTATGCTACTTGCATTTCAGGGTGCCTAATGTGCTACCAATGTGGCTCAACAACGGATGCGTCCGACTGCTTCACTGACGTGGGCGGGCTCGTGAATGCCTCCAAGGGGCTCAGGTCCAACTATCACTACGCTAAGAACTGCACGGCCTCCAAACCTGAATGGGATCGTTGTATGATTGAGGAAGCTAAAGCAGCAAATGGTCAGTTATAGGATCGTTGTATGATTGAGGAAGCTAAAGCAGCAAATGGTCAGTTATAGGATCGTTGTATGATTGAGGAAGCTAAAGCAGCAAATGGTCAGTTAGATCGTTGTATGATTGAGGAAGCTAAAGTAGAAAATGGTCAGTTAGATCGTTGTATGATTGAGGAAGCTAAAGTAGAAAATGGTCAGTTATAGAATGGCTGGTGGATGGCGAGAGCTGATACAAATGATCGGGTATAATATTATGATGGTTGTATGATAGAGAGAGCTGATACAAATGGTCAGGTGTAGGATGGTTTTATGATAGAGAGGGTTATAATAATGGTCAGTAATAGGATGGTTGTATGATGGAAACAGCTGACACAATGGTCAGTTATAGAATTTTAGTATGATTGAGAAAGATAATAGAAATGGTCAGTTATAGAATAATGGTATGATTGAGAAAGATAATAGAAATGGTCAGTTATATGATGGTTGTATGATATAGAAAGCTGATACAATGGTCAGTTATAGGATTGTTTTTTTTTTATAGTTAGAGCTGAAACAAATGGTCATGTATAGGATAGTTGTATGAAAGAGACAGCTGACACAAATTGTCAGTTCTACAATGGTTGCATGATAGAGAAGGTTGATACAAATGATCAATTTTGCGACGGTTTGTGTGATAGAGACAGCTGAAACAAATGGTAAGTTATAGGATGGTTGTATGATAGAGACGGCTTATACAAAAGGTAGAGGAGACCACTTTGATTAACCCTATTTTGAAAGTCACTAAGCTGACAGGCTCGGAATTTCCTTCACTTGTAAACATTACCGGCAATTTATATAGGGATAACTAGATAATGTATCAGATTGCTACGAACTTCACATTTTTGTTAGTGCATTACCCAGTTTTTAAACTTGACTTAAAACCGCAATTTGACCATGTTTGTTTTATAACATGCTGTCAAAGAAAAACTGTGAGTGAGATTTAAAACGTTTTTGCCAGTATAATCAACGTCCAAACCTATACAAATATAATAAAATCAGAATTAGACTAGTCGGTGAGATTTGACTGAAACCGTCGCGGAAAGTCACATTATCGATAGGAGAATGGGGACAACGCGCGGGCCGCATTAACTTTTAAACTGTGCTGTCAGGTATCGTGCGGTGAAATATCGTCTTGCGGGCCTCAAATGGGCCGCGGTAGGACATTTCATCTATTTACCTACATTGTCTATTGTTTTTAAATTTACATTTCGTCCACTTACATACCTTGTCTATTACTGTTTACATTACATATTGTTTCATCGAATTACATTGTCTGTGACTTTTTACATTACATTTCGTCTACTTAAATACATTATCTTTTACTTTTTACCTTACATTTTGCCTACTTTCATACGTTGTCTATTACTGTTCACATTACATATCGTCTACTGACATACGTTGTCTGTTACTGTTCACATTACACATCGTCTACTTACATACATTGTCTATTACTGTCCACATTACATATCGCCTACTGACATACCTTGTCTATTACTGTTCACATTACATATCGTCTAAACACATACATTGCCTTGTTGTTCCAGATAAGGTGTCACTCTTCCACCGTGGTTGTCATGACGGCAAGACTTTCCTTGCTGACGATCCTCGATTCGTACACTTAAAGCCCAACAACGCATCGACCTGCGCCATCATTAACGAGTTGGATATGGTCATCTGCTACAGTTTCTGCATGACCGACTTTTGCAATGGCCCCCAACCCGAAGACAAGGTGCCGTGCAATGAGACCGGCTACGGCGAGACATGTGGCGCTCCGGGAACTCCAAGAGACTGCCTTTTGTATGCCTTCATGATGATCATCGCGACACACATCGTATATTGCCTGATTTAAACATTGTTGGATCTACTTTATGCAAGGCTCCGTGTAATATGGATCATGGAATAGCTAAGCAATCTGTTGGTTGGCAGTAGGGAGTATGGGATAGCTTAAAAATATGCTGGTGGGCTGTAGGGATCATTGGATAGCTTAGAAATATGCTGGTTGGCTGCATGGATCATGGGATATCTAAGCAACCTAGTTGTTTGGTAACAGGGATAACGAGTTGAAATTAGCAGTCTCCTTTACAATAATTCAACCTTGTCCTTTTGAAATGTTGATATGCGACTGATCTTGATCGTATTCACATATACATTATGAAGGCCTTGCTACCGCATTGGGAAAACTTACCCTATACCCCTACCGCGTTTGGTGACACATAAGCCAACTGTAAACCCTAACAATCTCATTCAGTAACATTCTACAATAAACCTAATCGCCTACTATTGCATTTGATAACATGTGTCGTCTCACGCCTGAACACGAAGAATGTTACAGTGATAAACGTCCACAATCAGCCAATATGAATTGTCATGCTTCTTTTATATACAAAAAAAAAAAAAAGTCTGAGTCTTTCCTTAACGTAAACTTCCAGGGTGAAGTTTTAATTCCTTACCATTTTTTTAAAATGTAAAGTTATTATATTATTATTATTATGGCTACATGACGGCTTCATAGGCGTAGAAGGAAGCTTACCAGCGACAGTCGTCGTTTGAATTTTGAGGGCCGGCTACCAATTTTTAAAATATTTTTTCCCTTTGCCTTCAAACTTGATAGTTTACATTTTTTTCACCTAGCAACATTAAACCTCTTAAAAATACAGATTCCCCCAGCAGCTACATGGATTGCAGAGCCCGGAGGACTTTTCTGGTACCAACATTTGCGAAAGTGGGACTGACAGTTCTGTAATCTTGATCAGAAAATAGTTTGACTAATTTAGGTGCCACCGTGGTCATCGTGGCCATAAGGGTCATCGTTAAACAGGCAGTATTGAATTATTATTATTTATTTTTTTAATGACGGTTCTCCACCAGTGGCTCTGGGGCCCATTTAGGACTGGGGCTTGTTGCACTAAATCTCTCTAGTAATTCAATCTATCTGTTATCCATCCCAATTGTTGCTCCTCTGGCCACCATTAATTTGTCTACTCCCATTTAATTCCATGTTTTTGACATTGTATTGTTCAATGTGTTGAACAATGTAGCCTAGCAATGTGTTTAACAATATAGTCTTATAATGTGTTTAACAATGTAGCCGAGCAATGTGTTTATCAAAATAGTCTTATAATGTGTTTAACAATGTAGCCGAGCAATGTGTTTAACAAAAGTGTCTTATAATGTGTTTAGCCATGTAGCCGAGCAATGTGTTTAACAATATAGTCTTATAATGTGTTTAACAATGTAGACGAGCAATATGTTTAACAAAATAGTCTTATAGTGTGTTTAACAATTTAGCCGAGCAATGTGTTTAACAAAATAGTCTTATAATGTGTTTAACAATGTAGCCTAGCAATGTGTTTAACAAAATAGTCTTATAATGTGTTTAACAATGTAGCCGAGCAATGTGTTTAACAAAATTGTCTTATAATGTGTTTAACAATAGATGACAATGTTTACGCGTGTAAATAATTACTGTAAAAACATCATGCTATGAATTACGTTCACAAATAGTGGACATAAAATTAAACTATAAAACAAAATATCAAAATCTATTTTTAAGGATGATGCAAATAAATCACATTGTGTTCATGATTTATAAGTAACTATATTTTCCCTGGTTACGTCGTACATTTTAAGTGTTTAAATGGTGTTTAGTGGCGTCGTTTCAATGTTCATAATAGTCTAAACTTTAAATCCAAAAAGTAATTACAGTAAATTCTTCGCGACGTTCCTACTGGCAAAATGACCTCAGAGTAAACTTTCGATTGATTAAAATGTAATCTTTGTGCCAAACTTGTTATTTAAAAAAGTGATTGGGGAGTGTACTGAAGACCATTCAAACGGACCAGCTACACTAGTGGCTGGGAGCTATGTCCTGAAGACCATTCAAACGGACCAGCTACACTAGTGGCTGGGAGCTATGTCCTGAAGACCATTCAAACGGACCAGCTACACTAGTGGCTGGGAGCTATGTCCTGAAGACCCTTCAAAGTGTCAAATCTGTCCGACAGGGTGAGAAGCCTCCAAACGACATCCTTGTTGGAAGAAGCGCAAGCAGGATGACATGATCTTCGAACTTTGACCCGTGAAACTTTTCCACGTTGAATCCAAGCCGTTGTGGGGATGAGAACAAGAAAGCAAACCATCCGCTTCGTGAACACAAACCTATGCCCAATAATCTTGACGGTTGATGTTAAATACTACATTGATAAGATGTTAAATACTACATTGATAAGATGTTAAATACTACATTGATAAGATGTTAAATACTACATTGATAACACAAAAAGGATCATACGCAACAAAACTAACAGAATTTAAATACGATTAGCTTAGTGTAAAATAAATGGAAGTAGTTTATGGTATCATGCAGCCAGGTTGGCAGTTAGACAAACATAATGTCCAGTACTCATAAGGAGTAAAGTCCACACACTACAGGTTTGAAATCGCTCATAAACATCACACTTCTGAGTGGACATCAAAACACTCGCATAATGCATAAGCCTGACACCAGCTGGGAACACGTTCTCAAACACTTCGAGTTAATCTTAGCTAGTTATGTAATCTATCTTAGATAGTTATGTAATCTATCTTAGTTAGTTATGTAATCTATCTTAGCTAGTTATGTAATCTATCTTAGCTAGTTATGTAATCTATCTTAACTAGTTATGTAATCTATCTCAGCAAGTTATGTAATCTATCTTAGCTAGTTATGTAATCTATCTTAGCTAGTTATGTTATCTATCTTAACTAGTTATGTAATCTATCTCAGCAAGTTATGTAATCTATCTTAGCTAGTTATGTAATCTATCTTAACTAGCTATGTAATCTATCTTACCTAGTCATGTAATCTATCTTACCTAGTTATGTAATCTATCTTACCTCCTTTAGTAATCTATCTTAGCTAGTTATGTAATATATCGTACCTAGTTATCTGATGGATCTCATCTAGTTTTATTTACCAATCACACCTAGTTATCTAATACATCTCACCTGCTCACAAAATCAATCTGACCTAATTAACAAATTATCTTATCAAATGACCTAATTAATCTAAATCCTTTAATCATCTGATCAAAATGACCTATTATCAAATTGACCTATTTAACTAAAAGCTGCCCTAGTTATATCATCAAATTGACCTAGTTAACTAATAGCTGCCCTAGTTATATTATCAAATTGACCTAGTTCACTTAAAGCTGCCCTAGTTATATTATCAAAATGACCTAGTTCACTGACCTCACAGCCCTGGGTATCAAGACCCAGTAATCATCTATCTAGAATAGATTAACAATATGTACGTTTATACAAACAATCCTAAATTCAGTTTCACTGCAGGCCAATGAAAAATTGGAATACAGGGAAAAAAGGCCACAGAAAAAGGTCGCAGGAAAACGGTCACAGGAGAAAAGTCAGTGGGAAAAAGTCACAAGAGAAAGGGGAACGGGAAAAGGTGACGACATGAAAATTGTCACAGGAAAAAAAAAATCAAATAAAAAATTGTACAGAAAAGGCCACAATAAAGAAAAGGCCACAATACAGAAAAGGTCACAATACAGAAAAGGTCACTATACAAAAAAGGTCACAATACAGAAAAGATCACAAGACAGAAAACGCCACAACACAGAAAAGGCCACAATACAGAAAAGGTCACTATACAGAAAAGGTCACAGTACAGAAAAGATCACAAGACATAAAAGGCCACAATACAGAAAAGGCCACAATACAGAAAAGGTCACTATACAGAAAAGGTCACAATAAAGAAAAGATCACAAGACAGAAAAGTCCACAATACAGAAAAGGCCACAATACAGAAAAGGTCACTATACAGAAAAGGCCACAATACAGAAAAGGTCACAATACAGAAAAGGTCACTATACAGAAAAGGCCACAATACAGAAAAGGCCACAATACAGAAAAGGCCACAATACAGAAAAGGTCGCAATACAGAAAAGGTCGCAATACAGAAAAGGTCACAATACAGAAAAGGTCACAATACAGAAAAGGTCACTATATATGTTGTGCACAAACACGTATGTGTCAGTGGTTTCTTTATCATAGCATTTATTAAGTGTAATTATATTTGTAAGTCCATAGATAAACGGTGAACATAAAAAAGTGGTGGTTCAATATCGCTTGTGATTAAATATGGGGGAAAAGGCCCCAGGTATAAATGATCACAGGAAAAAGGTCACGGGAAAAAAGGTCACAAGAAAAAGGTCACAGGAAAAAGGTCACGGGAAAAAAGGTCACAAGAAAAAAGGTCACAGGAAAAATGATCATAGGAAAAAAGATCCCATAAAAAAAGGTCACAGGGTGCTGGGTGGCCGAGCGGCCTTAACTGACTTGATCCAAATAGTTGTTGGCACATATCACATAGTAAATGAATCACGGGAAAGCAAGGTGCATTGCATTGTGGTACTAGTTTAGCAGTAGCCCCCTTCAGAAAAAAGAATCAATAGCCTCAATGTGGTCTATGGCGCGTTGGACCAACAGGTGTACACAATTCATTTCTTCCCCATCTAGTCAGAAGTTAACAGCAAGCTCCCCGGCGGTTTCAATATCAAAAAACACATTATGATCACAACATTTTTTTTTTCAAAAATGTTATTTTTAGACTTATCTATGGGTCTGAGTTGCATATTTTATTTTCCCATTTTTTTGTTGTGCCTTTTTTCCTGTGATGTTTCTTTCCTATGATCTTTGTTCATGTGGTGTTTCTTTTCTATGATCTTTGTTCCTGTGATATATATTTCCTATGATCTTTTTTTCTAGCAAAACATGTTACTTTTTCCGTGACATTTTCTTTGTCCCCTTCTTCTTCTATATTTTGAGGGCCCACGATCAATAGATTGATCATTCTGGCTCCAATGTTTCAGAGGGATTCGCAATGTTACTGTGCATCGTTTTCCATGGGATACTTCACTGGTTGCAAGGGTTATTCAGCAAGGGTTTTATGCAACTGGTGGGGGTTGGAAGACATGAGGCAAAAGCTGCAAATGTGTCAAGTGTAGTCGCCCCAACCGTTGCTTTTGGAAGCTTGATCCAGTGCTTTTGTTCCTGTGAATTTATTCGTGTGACTTGTGTTTCTGTGACTTTTGTTCGTGTGACTTTTTTTTCGAGTGATTTATGTTTATCCTGTCTCTCACTTTATAGAAAGTCTCTTTCCCTGACTGATAGGGCATTCCGTCTAACTAAATATGAAAGTATCGACAGGCACGTCATGATGCAAAGCGAATTGAAAAAATAACGTCATATAAAGAGAACATCATGTACCGTATTTTCCGGCGTATAAGACGATCCCACCCTACTTTTCCTGTTAAAATCTAGGGTTTGGGCTGTACACAGCTCATAAGACGACCCCTGGCGTATAAGACGACCCCCAGCGTATAAGACGATCCCCAGCGTATAAGACGACCCCCAGCGTATAAGACGACCCCCAGCGTATAAGACGACCCCCAGCGTATAAGACGACCCCCAGCGTATAAGACGACCCCCAGCGTATAAGACGACCCCCGACTTTTGAAAAGATTTTCATGGGTTATAACGACGTCTTATACGCCGGAAAATACGGTAATCTCCATCAAAACAACTTTATTCAAGCACTTTCGTGAGAACCACTGTAGATCTGACTGCCAGCATTGGCCAATTTGTTGTGTTTGGGTGAACGATAAGAGCGCAACACACTGATAAGGCCTGTGTCATTAACATAAGGTTGGTCATTGGCTGATATGAGATTATTTCACCAGGATGTCTTTAGTGTGTACAATTATTGTGTTATTCCTAGAGTAGAACCAACTTGCCTTTAATGTTCTTTATGCTCGTATATTTTTCGCCTTGAAAGAGTCAATAAATCGATCCTTCCAGGTAAAACAAAAAAAAAAAGACGCTTTTAGCCATAAACAGAAATTGCGTGTTTTTTTTTTTTTTTTTTTTTTTTTTTTTTTTTTTTTACATTGTTAAACATAAAATAACTTTCTTTATTATTTAGTATAGCATATTATGAGATATGGATGTAGAGTATAATGAAAAAATGCACAGCTAGGGTATAATTTTATTAGAAGAATGTATTTCCATAGTTTAAAAGAGGAATGTGCAATCATAGTTAAATAAAGGCATGGTTCAATGGGGCGATGGTACAGCAATATTCCAATATGGGAATGTACAGCCATAGGTTAATATAGGAATGTACATAAATTGTTCAATAGAGGCAAGAACATCCATGTTAAAACGCATATAAATCAGTGGTTCTCAACATTTCTAATGCCGCGACCCTCATGTTGTGGCGACCCCCCGAAGAGAAAATTATTTTCCTGGCTACTTCATAGCTGTAATTTTTCTTCTGTTATGAATCGTAATGTAAATATATGATATGCAGGATGTATTTTCATTGTGACAAATTAAACATAATTAACGGATATTGATTAATCACAAAATAAATAGGTAGTTATATATTGTGAAATATTTATTTTTAATTACAAATAAATGCAATTTTTGTCTTGAAGCATGGTGTAACATGTGTAACTGTCTTAATTTAACAACAGTAAACTAGATTGCTACATTTTGAGACAGTATGCGTAAAAAGCCAACGTCAGTGCGAAGGTTGAGGTTGTTTTTTTCTTGCCAGAACAGAAATTCTCGGGTCAGTCTTTGCAAGAGCACCACGAAGATGATCTTCCACAACAAGTCTACTTCTGTATTTAGACTTGATAACCAACAAGCTGGAAAACCCTGTTTCACAAAGAAGTGTTGTTGGAAATGAAAGAAGTTGGTGCAACACAGTCTCAGACAGAACTGGATATGACTGCAAACACTTGATCCAGAATTTTGTAACTGGCATTGTAGAGAAATCAGTTTTCGCTTCATAGCTGTTAATAAGTACAATGAACTCATCTTGTGTTGACTCAGGAATATCTTCAACTTTGACTGTGAATGGACTTCTGGCAAGTCCAAATGGGGTGTCAGGTAGATTTGGAAAGTAAGATGAAATTTCGTATGTAAGCATGTGCAAGTCTTCCTTCGCAGAATTATCATCGTAATCCATTTGTCTGGTTCAATGTCATGTTCTTCAAAGAAACCAAGCTGTATAGGCAACATGTAAATTTTATTTTGCCAAAGCTGAAATTAAAATTAAAATGATCGCACATTTTCAGACAAATCGAGGGATGTTGCTTTGGTCCTTGCAGCGATAACTTTAACTCATTCAAGATGGTAAAGATGTCAACCAAGTCAGCTATTTTCTTTAGTTCACTTTTATCACTAAAAAGTACTTTGAACTGCGGTCTTGCTTTCTGATTGAAAAAATTTTTGTGTTCATCCCGAAGGTCAAAAAAACGTTTTAAAACGTGTCCTTTGGACAACCATCTGACTCCAGTATGAAATAGCAAAGCGTTGTTCCGTGCATAAACTCGTTACACAGTTGCGAAAGCAGACGACTGTTTAAGGTGCTCGCCTTTACAAAAATTAACAGAACTGATGACGCTTTTCGTTATCTCTTGTAACTCTTGTGGCAGCGTCTTCGTTGCTAATATTTGCCGATGAATCATACGGTGAGTTCTGATGACTTTTGGTGGCTCATTCAGTACCAAATGTTAAAATCCAGATATGCATCCTAGTATAGCTAGGGCACCATCTGTTCAAACACCACACACTTTGTCCAAACAGATCGTGTGGTAGAAATCCTAGCGCAGCTGGAGCCACATCAGGGCAAACACCAAAACATCCTCTTCCAAAGAGATCTTATGATCTTTCAGAAATAAACCCAACTGTGTCAAATACATCACGTGCAGTGGTTGTCGTTTCAAGAGGTTTGCACCCAGCTTTAAATTCGCCATCATCGAACATAATACCTCACGTAAACTACTAACTGAGAATAGTTTTCAGCGTCTCTTGTTTCATCTAGCTGGATATTGATGGTGACGCAGATTGAATTTCCTGGATGACCTGATCAAGAATGTCAACAGACATGTCATCTCCTCTCCTGAGGACAGTGCCGTTAGATAAGGAAATTGCACTCGGTTTCCAAACAAATTCGCGCGACCCCACATGTTGAGAACCGCTGGTGTACGTGCATGCATATAAACGTACATTTGTACATACACCCCAGGGTTCAACACTCATTGTATCAGAAATGTTTAGCAAATGTATATATATTATAAACATACAGTTATTGGATAAAAATTTTTAAAGCTGTTATTATTATTTTACAGTCTTTCGACGAATATAAAATGTAGACATTGTATTAATATTTAGAAATTATAAAATATTATTTAAAGACAATATAAAATATTAATATACAGCCAATATAAAAATTAATGTAAAGACGTTATAAGATATTAATGTATAGACACTTTACAATATTAATTTAAAAACATTATAATACGAATTTTGTATTCTTTAGAAAATATTAATTAAAGACATTATACAATATTAATTTAAAAACATTATAAATATGTATAAAAAAGCCATTAGAAAATATTAATGTAAAGACAATATTAATTGTCATTACAAAGCCATTAATCAAATATTAATTTAAAATTATTATAAAATTAATGTAAAAATTTTGTAAATATTAATTAAACGACTTGATAAAATGTTAATGTAAAGCTATGTCTGTGATGTTAACGTACATTTTTTAAAAATAGATTTCCTATCACAAATAATGTAAATAAAGCTGTCGTAGATCTGTGTTTGAGCTGTATTTGAGCTGTATTTAAGCTGTATTTGAGGTGCATTTGAGGTGTATTTGAGCTGTATTTGAGCTGTATTTGAGCTGTATTTGAGCTGTATTTGAGCTGTATTTGAGCTGTATTTGAGCTGTATTAGAGCTGTATTGGAGCTGCATTGGAGCTGTATTTGAGCTGTATATTATTAATGTTCCCGTTTCTCAATCCTTTGACAGCCGGGATGTCCTCAATGAAATTGGTCCTGGTCCTTGTGTTGTTCTGCTCAGCAGGACATGTTTCAGGCAAGTCTGGGATTAATTTATGCACTAGTGTCAGTTTTAGTTGAAAAGAATATCCCCATGACATCCACATATTTCTCTTTTTGTAACGACTTAACATAATTTATACATATATATATAGATAGATAGATATAGATATAGATATAGATATAGATATAGATATAGATATAGATATAGATATAGATATAGATATAGATATAGATATAGATATAGATATAGATATAGATATAGATATATAGATATATGTTTAAACCTACTCTTAGAGGCTGTTAATCAATAACATAAGAATATAATGGCACGTCACGTGATTTCACGGCATGTGAACTCATTGATCTATCCGACAGTACCAGAGGCCGTCACTAGCGTCTATTTTAACCTTCGACTTCTCTCTAATGACATCTAATGTTACTCCAGTCTTTTGATTCAAGCTTCAACATAACTTGTTTTACTATTTCATTAATGTATCCAACATTGCTGAGCAATGTATACTCATTGATATATCCGGCATTGCTTAGATTACTTCATCTTTACGTCTTAGAGTTATTAGAATAATTGATTAATTTTTTTTTTACACATTAGTGTTTTGATTTCTATAATAAATGGATTTGTGTAAAAAGAAATGGGACTGTAAGATGAAATGCCATTGCCACATGACATTTCAACACGAGGCTTGACAGCCCAGATGACCTGCCAATCGTTCATTAAATTATGCTTCATTTGTAAGGAAAAATGGCGGAAACTCAAATTCGCCCTGGGCTTGGACAAATGTAGCTACGCCACTTGCTTAAGTCTTGTGTTAAACATATTTAGTTTTGGTTTATGCTTACATTTTGACCCAATCGACCGTGACTTTCCCCACAAAACAGACTCGATTATGTGCTTCCAGTGTGCCTCAACTGGTCCTGAGGATAAGTGTATATGGGACACTGAAGGGCTCATCAACTCCTCGTTAGGCATCAGCCATGGCTACGACAAGGATTGTAACGATGCTTACGAAGCATGGGACAGGTGTATGATAGAAAGCGTTGAATATCAAGGTGAGGACAGGTGTATGATAGAAAATGTTGCATATATATGTGATATATTTCATTACTTCATACTTTTGACTAAATTAAAATCAATGATTAATATCATTTAGTTATTTCATGAGTGTACTCAAGAAAAATACCTACAAGTCTATAAGACTTCCAAACAGAAAAAGGGACCGTTGGCTAAGCAATGTACTAAGGACCCTTATTCCTCTCTAACGTATTGAAGCGATGTTAGGAAAAATTATTTGCCCAAGAATATCCTAATTGTTATGGCGAGTGTTTCAGAATGTCCTATTGTCAGGGCCAGTGTTTCGGAATGTCCAATGTGTTAAGGCCAGTGTTTCGGAATGTCCAATGTGTTAAGGCCAGTGTTTCAGCATGTCCTAAATGTTATGGCTAGTGTATCAGAATGTCCTAAATGTTATGGCTAGTGTATCAGAATGTCCTATATGTTATGGCGAGTGTTTCAGAATGTCCTATATGTTATGGCGAGTGTTTCAGAATGTCCTAAATGTTATGGCGAGTGTTTCAGAATGTCCTAAATGTTATGGCGAGTGTATCAGAATGTCCTATATGTTATGGCGAGTGTTTCAGAATGTCCTAAATGTTATGGCTAGTGTATCAGAATGTCCTAAATGTTATGGCTAGTGTATCAGAATGTCCTATATGTTATGGCGAGTGTTTCAGAATGTCCTAAATGTTATGGCGAGTGTTTCAGAATGTCCTATATGTTATGGCGAGTGTATCAGAATGTCCTAAATGTTATGGCGAGTGTTTCAGAATGTCCTAAATGTTATGGCTAGTGTATCAGAATGTCCTAAATGTTATGGCTAGTGTATCAGAATGTCCTATATGTTATGGCGAGTGTTTCAGAATGTCCTAAATGTTATGGCGAGTGTTTCAGAATGTCCTAAATGTTATGGCGAGTGTTTCAGAATGTTCTATGTGTTATAACCAGTGTTTTTGAATGTCCTATGTGTTATAACCAGTGTTTTTTAATGCCCAATGTGTTATAACCAGTGTTTTTGAATGTCCTATGTGTAATAACCAGTGTTTTTGAATGTCCTATGTGTTATAACTAGTGTTTCAAACAATTTTTTGTAGATGTGTGGCTCAGGCGGTGGGAGGTGGGGGAGAGAACAGGGCGTCTATCAGTTGCTCAGGTTATATATCAGTCAGCCAGGGTATCTATCAGCAGCTCAGGGCATCCATTAGTCGCTCAGGTCATCCATCAGTCGCTCAGGACATTGATCAATCACCCAAGGCATCCATCAGTCATCCAGGGCACCCATCAGTCTATCAGGGCATCCATCAGTCATCCAGGGCGACCATCAGTCACCCAAGGCGTCCATCAGTCGATCAGTGCATCCATCCATCAGTCACCCAGGTCGACCATCAGTCATCCAGGGCGTCCATAAGTCACCCAGGGCGTCCATCAGTCATCCAGGGCGTCCATCAGTCGTTCAGGGCATACATAAGTCACTCAGGTCATCTATCAATCGCTCGGGGCATCTATCAGTGACCCAGGGCAGCTCTCTATTGCTCATGGCATCTCTCATTTGCTCAGGGCATCTATCAGTTGCTTAGGGCATCTCTCAGTTGCTCAGGACGTCCATCAGTCGCTCAGGGCATCTATCAGTCCCTCAGGGCATCTATCAGTTGCTCAGGGCATCTCTCATTGTCTCAGGACATCGCTCAGTTGCTCAGGGCATCCATCAGTCGTTCAGGGCATCTATCAGTCGCGCAGGGCAACTATCAGTTGCTCAGGGCGTCCATCATTCACTCAGGGCGTCCATAATTCACTCAGGGCGTCCATCAGTCACCCAGGGCGTTCATCAGTCGCTCAGGGCATCCATCAGTCGCTCAGTACTTCTATCAGTGACCAAGAACTTCTCTCAGTTGCTCAGGGCATCTATGAGTTACTCAGGGTATCTATCAGTTGCTCAGGGCATCTATGAGTTACTCAGGGTATCTATCAGTTTCTCAGGGCATCTATGAGTTACTCAGGGCATCTATGAGTTAATCAGGGCATCTATCAGTTGCTCAGGGCATCTATGAGTTGCTCAGGGCATCTATGAGTTACTCAGGGTATCTATCAGTTGCTCAGGGCATCTATGAGTTACTCAGGGCATCTATCAGTTACTCAGGGCATCTATGAGTTACTCAGGGTATCTATCAGTTGCTCAGGGCATCTATCAGTTGCTCAGGGCATCTATCAGTTACTCAGGGCATCTATCAATCAACCAGGGCGATCTCTGACTCTATCGCCACCGCCAAACATAAACATAACTTCCTTCGGATTTCGTCAACCCCTTAAGGTACGCCTTTTGCCCCACCTTAGTTACGCCTCTTGAATTTGTATAGTTCAACTAATGTTAACTAACAGGGCTGCAACACCAAGAAAATTACCTACGACAGACAGAACCGTCGTCCTTAGGCAAAGTAATCAATATATGGGTAGTTGGATAGAGGGACGTATGGATAGATAAATAGATGGATGGAAAGATGGATGGATGGATAGATGGATGGATGGATAGATGTATGGACGGATAGATAGATGGATGGATGGATTGATTGATTGATGGATGGATAGATGGATAAATAGCTAGGCAGATTTTGAACACAGTAAACGGTAGATCGTAGCAAACCTTCTTTGCATGAGGGTAACATCTCCCAGGAGATAAAACTTTAACGTGCCTTATAAACAAACTAGTTAACGATGACTTGCGACAGAAGATTATGACACCTTTATACATGTATTAGTGAAATATGTTTTGGGTTAGAATGTTAATTTTGTAACAATTTATTTAACCTTGCGATAAGTTTGTTTCCATTTTTTTAATTGTATTTCACTAACTCAAATAGCATGCATAAAAATAAATACATTTTGTATAATCAATTAATTAAAGGCCTTTTCTCCCCTTCTCTGTAGCGAAGTACGGGTATATTTACTAGTACCGTATAAAGGGAATTGAAATTTGTCTGATCCCATGGACGCTATGTATCTTTATCTCCAGAGAAAGTGACCGTGTTCCATCGAGGTTGCCACGACGGCAAAAACTTTCCCCTCCATTTCAACAACTCCCGCTTCATCAACGTCGCCCCGGACAACGCCACCACCTGTGCGTACGTCACCGCGGTGAAGAAGCTCGTCTGCTACACGTTCTGCATGACCGACTTCTGCAACGGGCCTCAACCGGAAGTCAAGAAGCCGTGCAGGAATGTCACAGAGTACTACTACGACTCGTACTACGACGTGGACCTCAGCGAGGAGTACGAGATTTGTGGCGCCCTGGGGCAGCGTGGGGTCAGTGCGTGGTTGCACGCCCTCGCCGTGATTGTCTGCGTGTTCTCTGTGACATATATGCTGTAGATCGCAAGTGGCTTTATTTAAAACATCTTGGTTTAAGGAGCTGACAGTTGAAAAAAAAAAGATGAATGAAAGGGAGGTAGAATGATGGACGATAAGGTGAGAGAATGCTGGATGACCAGGTGTGAGAATGGTGGATGACCAGGTGAAAGAATTGCGGATGACCAGGTGAGAGAATGGTGGATGACCAGGTGAGAGAATGGTGGATGACCAGGTGAGAGAATGGTGGATGACCAGGTGAGAGAATGCTGGATGACCAGGTGTGAGAATGGTGGATGACCAGGTGAAAGAATTGCGGATGACCAGGTGAGAGAATGGTGGATGACCAGGTGAGAGAATGGTGGATGACCAGGTGAGAGAATGGTGGATGAACAGGTGAGAGAATGGTGGATGACCAGGTGAGAGAATGGTGGATAAAAGGGCTGTAGAATGGTGTATATATAAATATATCATGGTGAGTGAATAAGGGATGATCAGGCAAAGAAAATTATGGATGACCAGTTGAGAGAATGACAGATGTGAGAAGGGTGGACTGTTAGGTGAGGAATTTACATGTGAGATAATAGTTGACGGCCAGGTGAGAGAATGTAGGATGGTCCTGTAGTTATGTGACAGAAGGATGGACCATCCTCACCTGAAGAACTCTTCCTCTAAGCCAGTTGTAAAAAATCAAACAATTATACATGGTTTGAACTGTTGCAGTGGCGTAGCTAGGGTTGGTGTCATCGGTGCGGTAAACCAATGACTGTCCCTCCCCCGACTTCCACGATGAATTTCTTCTTGTTAAAATAAGGCCACAGTATAACAATGACAAGAGCAAAAAAAAATTATGTGAAGGTCAGGTGATAAATGTGTTTAAGAACCGTAACAAGTGCTTAGGATTGCAGATTGGCATCAATGGAAAGCTGTATTTCTCAGGATGTACATAAATAAAGCTTCCTGTTACGAAAGTTACTGTACACTTCAATCGGCGTTGAATCATGATCAAAGTGGTGTTTTTCTGACCAAATAATAGGTCACCTCATTTCTGACGCATCGACCTTGAACTTTTAGTCAAGCACGCACGTGGATTGGTTGCATGTGTGGTAAATTTATGAATGATCGGTTATCCTGTTTTCAAACGGTTGGACCAAGCAGTGTGTGTTCTGTAAATATGCAATTTTTCAATTTGGTGTCAGCCCCCATGAGATGGTGTCACCCGGTGCGGTTTGCAAACACCTCCCCCCCCCCCCTTGAACCCCTTAGCTACGCCACTGTGTACTACCTACTACTCTTTTAATCATATTTGACTTATCAAAATGAAAACGCCACATCTCCCATCTAGCCTCTGACAAAGTAATATCAGATCTTACATATTTATCATATGTGTAACAATAAGCTCACAATCGTAACGTGTACAAAACTGACCCCCCCCCCACACACACACACAAAATGAGTTAATGCAAGCTATCAACATTATAGTTTCATATCAAGATTTAACTGTTCGGTAAATTAAATGATTTGTCTTCTAGCGTGTAAAATACGGAAGGATGCTTTTTTTTTTACAATTTTTGATTTTCTGTGTTTAGAGCAACGATAAGCGTAAGACATTTGTGTACAATTTTTATCATATTCAAATTGTGAGCTTTCCATTACATATAGCATATTTTCTGTTAAAAAATATCCTTATTATTTATAAAAGTATCTGTTTCATTTACATCGTAATATTTATGCTATTTTTGTTTTCATGTTTCTATATTTTTCAACTAATGTATTACATAAGTGATTTCCCTTTCCATATTATCTCATATGTGTATTTCACTTCAGCATTCAAATGTGTATATCCTTCAATTATGTCATCGGTGTTTCTCTCAGACAATTTTATTCGCGGAGGTGGTCGGGGTGGCATTTAATTTTTTCTGATTGTGCTATGGATCTGGTCAGAGGCGCAGCAAAGGGGGAGGGGGGCATGGGGTAAAAAATGTCCCCGGGTGCCAGACTAGCGGGACCGCTAAAAAGGGCGTTGATGGTATTCAACGGGTGAAGATAAAAGGTTTAATAGGGGGTGGCGTAAAATTGAAGCTTGTCATCTGGTTCCAAACACTCTAGATACGCCTCTGCCAGTGGAAATTTAAAAAAAAAAATTATCTTTATCTTTTTTATTTTTTTTGAGGGGGTGGTGTGGTTGTTTTGGTGCTCCGCTGAGCTGTTATTTACTTAATATGGAGGAGATACGGCTTTTTCACAAAACTGTTGAGTCATTATTGGCATTGAATGTAGGGTGGCAAAATCTTGGCCGTCTCAGGGCGGCACTTAGACTAGACACGCCCCAAGAGAAGACTTGCCATCCAAAACGAGTCTAAGCAAGTCAAAAAAAAAAATAATCAAAACAAAATATATAATTAAGTTTAGGCTACATTCAAATCGAATACTTTGGCTACAGAGAGTGGTCATCTGTATTTCCGAAAGTCTTTCTTGCTTTAATGCAGTTTAATAAAACGTAAATTCTTTTTTTTTATTGCGTTTCAACTCGACTGTATTAGAAAATATATATTTTTTGTTTTTTTTCTTTAGGAGAATGAATTCAAAAGTTATAGAATTTCCAATTTAGTTAATATAGGGCGATACATTTTCGTTTTCCTGTTGTACACAATTTTCTCCGGGGGGAGGGGGGGGGTCTTTGAATTTCTCCAGGAGACCATTGCTCCCCCCCCCCCCCCCCATTTTTTTTTTTTTTTCTTTAGGAAAATGAATTAAAAATTTATAGATTTTCCAATTTAGTTAATATAGGGCGATACATTTTCGTTTTCCTGTTGTACACAATTTTCTCCGGGGGGAGGGGGGGGGTCTTTGAATTTCTCCAGGAGACCATTGCTCCCCTCCCCCCACCCCGTTTCCTTGGGAGAAATGCCTGAAATAAAAACCGTTTATCATTAAGATCGATCACTTCTGTCTTTAATTTCTCGAACATTCATTTTATATACTCCCAAATAAACAAAAAATGTATACATAATTTGCCAATGTAGATGTCTTACGCTCGGATTCTAAAGACAATGGTTGTGATTTTATATTATACTAGGGAAATCGAAGTTAAATTGAATCTGATCAAATATATATGCATTGCATTTATGCAATGATGTGTAATCTTTATTAACATGTATTATATTTTATACATTAGCAATAAATTTAATGTAGACATACAAAATGATTTTAATTATTTCTCTGAATGTTGTTACAATCTTATGTCTGATGTACATTATGTGTTTCAATGTGTTATGACCTTCTGATAGAAGTTCTGTGTTTCAATATGTTATGACCTTCTGATAGAAGTTCTGTGTTTCATACCAATAAAAACACATGTACACATTGTTGCAGTTAGAAATAAAAATGCACATAAAAGGTATCAAGATTTAGAATGTGATAACCGGCACTCTTTTTAACAAATATTTTTTTTTAATTACCATACTGGAAATCTTGTTTCACTATGTTTTCATTACCCTATTTATTTATTAATTTATTTATAACATATCGCTGCAAGGTTCACTTTGCATTTATTTAAATGTGGTCGTGTCTTGAAAACACTTCAGAACCTGTTGACCAAAAATCCTGCGATGATCTCTAGTTCCGACACAAGATGCCACGCTCATATGACAACGGCACTTCCAACTGTGGTACCGGTACGTGAAAGCAGTAAATATAGTAGTTGTACTAGTATGTTCGTTGTTTTTTTAGTTTGCTATTTGGGATGGAATGCTGTTTGAACGTATGTGTTTGTTGTATTAGTATGTACGTTGTACCAGAAATGTCGTTGTACCATGATGTTGGTGTTGCCCAAACAGGTTCCTTCGCGGAGTAATGTTACCGCAATCACTCTGTGGAACGTGTTCGAGAGCTTGCCCGATGTCGACAGAGCGTGCACGATGTCGACAGAGCGTGCACGAAGTCGACAGAGCTTGCACGATGTTGACAGAGCTTCCCCGATGCTGACAGAGCTTGCCCGATGAATATTTTATTGTAATATATTAAAGGGGGGCGTAATGTCTCTTATCTTAGTGGAATTGTGGGAGCTATACAAGTTACGGTGTCATCCATGTAACAAAGAAAATGATGGATACAATTTCTGGTAGCATGGATAGATGGATGAAGCTTGGCTAGATGTGAGGATTGTTTGATGAGCCAATGGTAATATGATTGAATGATTGAAATGAATTATTGAAATGAATTCTTGAAATGAATGATTGCAATGCATGATTGAAATGAACGATTGAAATGAATGATGGCATTGAAGGATCTGTGGATTTGCTTGTCAAAGGATGGATTGATGAATGACATTTGGGTTGCGTGATTTAATTGATAATGTAAAGGATGATAAATATATGGATAAATCAGTGTTTCACTTAAATGGATAATTAGTGATATTGCTTGTAATGTAGCTTAGTAGTACTCCTTACAACAAATGGTATATAATTCAATTGTATACTTTATTGATTTTTCTATTTTAGAGTTTAGGATATTCAATCGACCAGTGAGTCATGCTACTAAACGAACAAAAAAATTTACTCTGTAACGAAATGGTTGGGGGTATTATTAGGATGGGTGTCCTATACTTTAAGAATGGTGACAAAATATCTTCCTAGTAAAATGGTTGTCCTATACAAGTGATTGTTGTGTGCATTGTCTTACAAAAGAAGTGATTGTTGTGTACATTGTCTTAAAAAAGAAGTGATTGTTGTGTACATTGTCTTACAAAGAAATGATTGTTGTGTACATTGTCTTACAAAAGAGGTGATTGTTGTGTACATTGTCTTACAAACGAAGTGATTGTTGTGTACATTGTCTTACAAAAGAAGTGATTGCTGTGTACATTGTCTTACAAAAGAAGTGATTGTTGTGTACATTGTCTTACAAAAGAAGTGATTGATGTGTACATTGTCTTACAAAAGAAGTGATTGTTGTGTACATTGTGTGAAATGTGTTACTATAAAAGTGAATGTTGCGTGCAGTGTGTTACAAAAGAAGTGATTGTTGTGTCCAGTGTGTAAGTAAGAATTGATTGTTGTGTGCAATTTATTAATAAAGAAGTGATTGTTATGTGCAATATCTTACAACGTAAGTGATTGTTGCGTGCAGTGTGTTACAAAAGAAGTGATTGTTGTGTGCAATATCTTAAAAAAGAAGTGATTGTTGTGTCCAGTGTGTAAGTAAGAATTGATTGTTGTGTGCAATGTGTTAATAAAGAAGTGATTGTTATGTGCAATATCTTACAACGTAAGTGATTGTTGTGTCCAGTGTGTTCAATGTGTTACTAAAGAAGGGATTGGTGTGTGCATTGTGTGCAATGTGTTACTAAAGAAGGGATTGGTGTGTGCATTGTCTTACAAAAATAGTTATTGCTGTGGGCAGCGAACAAGCAGGTACATTCATAAAAACCAGGGCTGCAACCGAAAAGAAAAACTTGTTATCTTTCCTTTGCGGTCCGTGAAAAAACTATTCATTCTTTATTCTTATTTAATTCTTAATAGCTTTTCCCTGTACCATTTGCTTTTGGCCCGCACAAGTACTGACCTATTTTCTATTCGGCCCGCACAAGTTTTTCGTTAAGTTTCACGGCCCGCCTTACATTTTGAGTTGTGCAGGCCTGCCGTAGGATCATGCAATATTATTCCCCTTTGCCTAGGACAACATTGTTTAGCATGCTAATGATAAATCAAAATGAATACCACAAATGAATGAATTGAATAAAACTAGGGATCTCAAATTTTATTTTTGAACAAAATTAAAACAAAACTAATATTAATATTAACTTTCCCGCGGATTTTCTTCCTCAAAACAATTAACATTTGCCCTGGGCTTAATTGCAATTTTATTTTTGGAAATAAATGACGAATAGGCCATCAATCAGTTGTGAGCCGTTTTCGCAGAGCATTAGTCACTTAACATCTGATGACAGCAAGTCGTCGAGCAATAAAGAAAATCGGATTGCCAGCCAGAAAGTCTGACTTCTGGTAGATGACCGAAGACCTCAATAACTTTAGGCCGAAACCAAAATTGAACCGAAATTTAAACGAACCTAGGCCGAAAGGGATCAAATAGCAACTTTCGGCGCAGAAATCGAAGCCCAAGCCAAAATAATAATTTCAGTTCGGACATTCTTTGAAAAAACTGAAAAGTGGTTGATTGAATATAATGATGTGCCGAGCTCATGGCTACGATAGACCTGCCACAATGTCTGGAATTATTGATGGTTTACAAGCACTGCTTTCCCGATATCTGTACTCATGAAGTTTCAATTAACATTTGGTGTCAAAATACTTATCTTTAACATTTATCATTTGTAGCATTATATTCGTACTAATGAGAATTACTTCTTTTTCTGCATCCACTCAAAGATTAGATGTTTTAATTGAATCCACTCATAGATTAGTTGTTTTAATCGAATCCACTCATAGATTAGATGTTTTAATTGAATCCACTCATAGATTAGATGTTTTAATCGAATCCACTCAGAGATTAGATGTTTTAATCGAATCCACTCAGAGATTGAATGTTTTAATCGAATCCACTCAGAGATTGCATGTTTTAATCGAATCCACTCAGAGATTGAATGTTTTAATCGAATCCACTCAGAGATTGAATGTTTTAATCGAATCCACTCAGAGATTGAATGTTTTAATCGAATCCACTCAGAGATTGAATGTTTTAATTGAATCCACTCATAGATTGAATGTTTTAATCGAATCCACTCATAGATTAGAAGTTTTAATTGAATCCACTCATAGATTAGATGTTTTAATCGAATCCACTCAGAGATTAGATGTTTTAATCGAATCCACTCAGAGATTGAATGTTTTAATCGAATCCACTCAGAGATTGAATGTTTTAATCGAATCCACTCAGAGATTGAATGTTTTAATTGAATCCACTCATAGATTGGATGTTTTAATCAAATCCACTCATAGATTGGATTTTTTAATTGAATCCACTCATAGATTAGATTTTTTAATCGAATCCACTGAGAGATTGAATGTTTTAATCGAATCCACTGAGAGATTGAATGTTTTAATTGAATCCACTCATAGATTAGATGTTTTAATCGAATCCACTGAGAGATTGAATGTTTTAATCGAATCCACTCATAGATTGAATGTTTTAATCGAATCCACTCAGAGATTAGATGTTTTAATCGAATCCACTCAGAGATTGAATGTTTTAATTGAATCCACTCATAGATTGGATGTTTTAATCGAATCCACTCATAGATTGGAAGTTTAATCGAATCCACTCGTAGATGTTTTAATCGAATCCACTCATAGATTGGATGTTATGATTGAACACACCGGAATGTAAATCAACCATGTTAACAATACGCTGAAAATTAATCTGAAACTTTGAAAGCTACATCTTAAATATTATGTATATTTTTTGACAATAGCTATCACTTCAATAAATAAAATTATTTTCCAAGAGCCGACCTTGATGCTTACCATAAATTTATTTATATATAAAAAACCCTTATTTATATATAAATTAAACACTTATTTTTATATAAATTAAACACTTATATAATGCAAAGTTGTGTCAAGACATTAAAGAGTGAGTTTTAAAATTATCATAAATCTGAAATGTTTTCTCCATTATATGATCGAATAAAAAGTCTCTTTAAAGTCAAATTTATTATGCAGACCGGTTTATATAGATATTTATGTACAAAGTTGTGCTGATATTAATCAAGTGTTATTTAACGATTTTGATGTCATCGATTGAAGGAAAATTGACTTTTATGAAACGGTACATGAAACGATGTTATACAAAATTATAACTGGGGCAACTGCTGATGGTTAGATGTTAATAGGGCAACTGGTGATGGTTAGATGTTAACAAGGGCAACTGGTGATGGTTAGATGTTAACTGTGGCAACTGGTGATGGTTATATTTAACTGTGGCAACTAGTGATGGTTTGATGTTAACTGGGGCAACTGGTGATGGTTAGATATAACTGGGGCAACTGGAAATGGTTAGATGTTAACTGTGGCAACTGGTGATGGTTAGATGTTAACTGCGGAAACTGGTGATGGTTAGATGTTAACTGTGGCAACTGGTGATGGTTTGATGTTGACAGGGGAAATTGGTGATGGTTTGATGTTGACAGGGGCGCTTAGTGATGGTTTGATGTTGACAAGGGCAATTGGTGATGCTTAG